TTTAGATCTTTGGGGATTTCTGTTTATGCTTCTACTTGCCCAACACATTTTAAATTTTTGTGTGGGGAGTCGTATTTCTGTTTGTATTCTGGTAAAAAGGTAAAGAAACAGGAGGACCAAATGATCTCTAAGGACCATTCTAACTCTAAACTTATTTATTTTCAGTGAACAAAGGAGGCTATGTAAATACTCATTCCTGATTTAAAGTAGAAGATAATTATCAAAACCAACAGCAAACATTGTGTTTAATGGCAATTCATTAGAAGCATTCTGTTCAAAACGTGGAACACGACAAAAATGCTTAATATTACTGATACTGTTCAATACCATTTTTAGAGACTTAGATCGCTAGTAATTAAGGCAATGAAAATAAGGTATAACTATTGAAAAGGAAAAGCTACAACCATCATTATTTTAAAGAACTTATGATTATTTACTTAGAAAATCCAAGAATGAAGTTATTAAAATTAATGAAGAAATTTAACAAGGTAGTTGGATCCAAAGCCAATATACTAAAGTCAGTAGCTTTCTCATTCATCAGAAATAACCAATTGAAAATGTAATAGGAATAAAAGGTTCCATTTCCAATTCATAATTACACAGAAACTATAAAATGTATAGGAATAAATCTACCAAAAATATTTAAAACTTGTGTGAAGAAAGCTCTAAAACTTTACTAAAAGACATAGTTGAAGACCTGGATAAGTAGACATCCGTGTTCCCAGATGGGAAAAATCAGGTCTTCCTAAATTACACCAAAATTGAATGTCGTCTATGTCATTCCAGACAAAATACTAGTAGGGTTTTTTAGATAGAATTTCACACAGTGATTTCAAAGTTCTCTTAAAAGAGAAAATTGCATATCAATCATCATGACTATTTTTAAAAGATTGGCAATAAGATGGAATCTTGCTTTTACCGAATGTCAAAACATAATCAAAAGCTATAGTAATGTAACCGAACCAGGCTGGTTTTGCCCACCACGCAGCATGCCAATCACCAAGACGACAAGTTTTACAGCAGAGAAGGGGTTTATTCACAAGGCAGCCAAGTGAGGAGATGGGAGAACAAGTCTCAAATCTGCCTTCTCAAAAATGGGGATTAGGGATATTTATGGGATAAAGGGGCATGGTGGTCTGAAGTGTGGGGCTAGATGATTGGAGGTAAGGAAAAGTGAGGTAACTGATGATCTGTGCAAACGTAGTCAAGCTTCATGGCTCTTCATAGGACACATGTTCACAAAATGGTGGCGTTAACATGACCTGAGGGTGGAGTTTTCAGCTCCTTGACGTCAAACGGTCACCTGTCAGGCATCCTCACAGGACCATTTGATGGGTTGGTGGTCTCAAATGGCCTGAACTGGACAAGGAGTCCACTCTCAGTTCCTGAAAAATAACTTAAGCACCGATTAGCATGGTGACCCAAGCATCAGAGATGTTATCTGTAAGGAACCTAGTGGGAGTCTGATAATATATTGCTTATCTACATGACTTTTAAGAATAATCATTAATGGCTATCTGGCCACTGGTTTCAGTAATTAAAACAGTATAGCATTTGAGTAAGAAGAGACAGATAAGTAAGTGGAAGAGAATAGAGAATATAAAAACCAACCCAAGTATTGATTCCCTATCTGCTCTTCATCCCATCCCATTCTCCAATGAGATGAGCCCAATCCTCCTAGTTGGTGGTAACTACTGTTGTAGGATCAGGCCACTTTACTGGGTTATCATGGGAAAATTGGCTTTCACTTTTTACCAGTCCATGTTTCATTTGAGCAGTGCCAATGTATCATTGTATTGTATAGTGTATTATTACACTGTATGATTTATCACACTACATTGAGCAGAGGCAATGGATGAAGCAACAAGTCTGCAGCAGTAGGAAGCCCTTTTAAATACCTAGGTTCTGGTTATCTCTTTTATACATAAATCATATTCTTCCCTTTTAGGATGTTTTTTTTTTTTTTTTTGTCTGGGGCACAAACCATTCCCAAACTCCTCTCCAGACCTTCTTTTACAGTGGTGCTAAATGGACCTGTAGGTACCACCTAATGCAGTTATCACAAATGATGAGTACTATTGCTCAGGCAACAAGGGGTAGAATTCATACAGTGGAGTTTTAATGAAAACCTTTAACTCTTATTTGGTCAGATTTCTTCTGATGCCCTTACTTGGATGGTTAAAGAATACAAACTGTGTTATAGTTCTGCCTGTTTTCTCTTATTTTCCCTCAGTATAGGCTGGATTAGGGGCAAAAATCACAGGCCATTACTATAAAATTTTAGGGAAGTAGTGAGTGCACGAGCAAAGGTGGTGGCAGTGGGTGGATGTGAGAAGTTAGAGGGAACAACAGGCTTTGTTAATTGATTGTTAGAAGTTAAGGAGAAGGAGGAGTGGTCAGCATTTGCTCATAGAAGGTGGATCAAATTCCCAGCTGCAGAGGTCAAGCAGGTTTGGCGTGCCGGGACAAATGATAGACTGTGCTTAAGGAAGGAAAGTTGCATGAGAAAACATAGGTACATCAGGAGCAGTAAAGGCAGCACGAGGTAAGGACAGAAGTCACAGATCAAGTCCATATTAATTCATAGCAAATATAGATGTTATAGGCAAAAACTGTGGTTTAGGATGTTAGACTGAGGCATGGCTTCAGATTGTGTTGCAAAAACAGTGAGAGCTCCACACAGCATGGTCCCCCAGGAAATTCACTGGAAATGAGTCATGGTTGATTGGGGTCAACTAGGCCGAAGGAAATGGCCTCGAAAGAAGAAAGCAGGAAAGTAAACTGTGGTCACAGACAAGGTTGATTTCCCTGCCCTGAGAGGAAGAAGAAACTCCTGGGATATATGTGTAGATGGGGACCTAAGATGGTATATTGATACCGGAGGAGTATTCAGGGAGATTATTGCCCATTATTGAGATGGAGTTGTTTAGTGTCTCACTTCTCAGCCATAGCAGAGCCAAAACAATTTCCCAATACCTATGGATTACCTGAGTAATTGTTATTAGTATACTGTTGAGCTAGCATGTGTCTGGTACCAGTTTGCATTATCTTTCTAAAGCATCATTTTCTTTATGTCATTACTCCACTTAAGAACCTCCTAAGGCCATTTGTTTTCTGCCAGATAAATTCCAGTGCTTTAGTCTGGCATTGAGAAATCGTCATCGATTTGCCTACCGTTTTCCATGAATGCAAATCCTCTGCTCCAGGAAGATTATTAGCATCTGTCAAATATGCTGTGTAAACCTAGAATGCTCATATCCCTTCCTGACATTAAAATTCATATTTTCTTCTTCCTGAAGCCTTCTTCTTAACCTCAACCTCTAGTGCTTTTCTTCCATTTACTGTAACTTGACTCATTCCTCTTTTCTATTTCTGTCCTTTTGTCTCTCCAACTAGTATTTTGTCCCTCCATATAGATTGTTTATTTCCTAAAGGCAGAGACTTTGTATTCTCTTATACATGCTGTTAAAAAGTAGGGAGTGAACCTTTCTTTTTGTTTTTATCTAACTTGTGTAGTGTTTTGAAAAGTCTTAGTCTTCAGAATAGTGGAAAAAGATTAGTCATTTGCCTGACTTTTCATGTAATAAAGTGTAACAGAAATATAAAATGTAGTCTCCTTGCTGAAAGTTCTTAAGGATTGTTTTGATATGACTTCTCAAGATATTAGATACTTAAATAATTTTAATAGTTTGTACAAAATCTGCATCATGAATTAATAGACATAGAAGAGACAATAAAGAAGATAAGCTTGCTATCCTAAATAAGAATTTTTTTAATATAAAATAATTTTTATGAAATATGTGAAAATATAATTTATATATTGTTGATAGTCATATAAATTGCTATAAACTCCCTAGAGGCATTTTAATAATATGTAGGAAAAGGTTTTGTTTGACCAATCAAGTCTACGCCTAGGAATTTATCTCAAGGAACTATTTGTAGATACATCTAAATATTTTCAAGGCTGGTCATTATAACATTGTTTTATAATTGTAAAATACTATGAATCACCTAAATATTTAACCATGTGGAATTAACTAATTGTGTTATGCTACAAACATTTACTGTGAAATATTGAACTGTTATTAAAAATGGTCTGCTAGAACATTTAATGACCTGGGAAAATGGCCCTGATATATTAATAAGTAAAAAAGATCAGATGACTTAACAGTGTAGTATAATCCCATTTTTTGCCAAAAAATGAAAAAAATTATATCTGTAAAATATTTTAAATTCTTTTCTAAATTATATATAATAACAATGCATCTCTTTTGTAATCAGGAAAACAATCCTTTTATTAAAAAATAAAGTTGCTGTAGTTAGTTCAAAGAGAAAATAGATAATTTTTCACTGTTAACTGTCTTGAAAGGTCTTGAAATTAAGGAAAACAAAAGAAACTTCCTTTTCCATATATACACACACTCCTAATTCTGTTCATCTTAACCGTAGTAGAATTCAGAATGACCATTGGTGGTAACTGTACTAACTAGTGATCTAGAGTTAGCAACTTCAGTTCTAATCTAAGCACCACCACTAAGTGGTTTCCTTAATGGTCGGCATGAACAGCCTATCAGGGTTTCACTGTCTTCTTTTAGAAATTAATAGACTACAGTGAATAGACTTCTAATTAAATAAATAAGCCCATGTGGAGGGCACATTATAGGCATTTAGCAGTTAGTATTCCTTCTGAAGAAACTACTAGCTTAGAAATTTAATGTTCTCTGAGACTGAAACTTAAGAAATAAATCACAAGTCCTTCAAAGTGCCAGTTTAAAATCTTCAGGCCCTTAATGATATTCATCATAAGATCTTTCAAACATTAATTCATTTTATTCATGTGGGTAATTTATTTATAAAATGATTAAGTTCTCCAGAAGAGAATATTTTCACACTTTTTCATTTACTCTATTAATTCACTTACAACATAATTAAAAGCATTTATCTTCTAGAAGGAGATGTTATTTCACACAGTCCAAATTTATTTCCTTTCTTAACTTTAGGTTGCTGTTGGCAGAACAGACGTTGAAGACTTAGACCTCTATGCTACGTCTCGGGAAAAGCGATTTCGTTTGTTTGCTTCTATAGAATGTGAAGGGCAGTTATTCATGACTCCATATGATTTTATTTTGGCTGTTACAACAGATGAGCCCAAATGTAAGTATATTTTTAAATTACTTTAACAATTTTATAAGATTTTTTTCTTATCTCTAGTTGGTTAAAGTGTGGAGCAGTATAAGTTTTTTGAACAACTGACCAAGTAATGTGGTATTTCAAAAGAGCTTCTGCTATACCATGTTACCAGACTAATATTTCTTATATGTTAGAAACTGACATCTCTTCTTTTCAGAAACTTTCAGTTATTTTCTCTTTCTCAGTACATCAGACTTAAGCACTACCTTACTCTTGATGTTCTTTATAATAGGTTCATATTCTGCCTATTCAATTCTTATATCCAGCTTGAACAGAGTAATTCAGAGGACTGGCTTTGAAGTTAGACCTAGGCAAGAATTCTACCTATATCTCTTCGTATTTGTCATGGCTCCTACCGTGTAAATATAGGCTAGTTGTTTCTTACCTTTCCATGTGTTAAAGCAGTGGTTCTCAAACTTTGTGGCATTAGGTACATTCTTGGAAATCTCTTTAATGTCTGACTTAATAAAAGATGGCTGGATTCTCATATCTGCTTTTTTATTCAATCTGTTACAGTGTTGTCTTTCATGAAATATGTGAAGAAAATCTGCCTTACATATATAGAAGTAGGAAAAGGGAAGAGTATTTTAATAGCCTTTTCAGATAATTGTAGTCTTCTTTGATACTATATCAACACTTGGCTAGTGGTAATTTCTTAAAGTTTAGTTGTAATATGGAATCTGAAACTTTTGTCGTCTGTTATGTTAAAATCAGTTGGCCTACATTGTGGTTTGAATGGATCTTTTACCCTTATATAATCGTGTAACATCAAAGGGAAAATACTGGTTCACTAAGTTATGCAGATCTTCCAAATGTTGACATATTTCATTATACGATATTTTCTAAAAATCACATTCATTACTATTGTCATAATTTTATCAGGAAAGTCTTAACTTATTGGAAAGCTGTCAGACTCATGGTGGTGTATAAAAATCAGAAATTCTGATTTTCACTTGAAAGCTCAAATGTTATCATCAACAAATACTGTCAGCTGTTTTCCTCAAGTGATAAGCTGACTTTGTTCATTTGTAAGAAAATGTCTGCCAAATACCTAGGTCTAAATAACTATAATTTGTCTGTCACTTATTCTTTCAAGTAAAAATTGTGTTCCGTGAAAAAAGGAATTAGGTCAGTTCACAACTCAAGTAATCACACGTTGCTTTTTCTCAAGACAACCATAGTATTTTGGAATGCAGCAGAAGTGCTTTATGCCCACTTCCCTTCCCATCTCAGAGAATATTAAATGACATATACTCAAGGACACCTATCAAATGCCAAGTACTGCACTAGGCACTAGAGATACAGTGGTGAAGGGAACAAAAAAAATAAATACCCTCCACCCTCATGATGCTTACAGTCTGGTGGAAGGAGCGAACACTGCTCAAGGAAATATACAAATAACGAATTACAACTGTGATAAGAGCCATGAAAGAAAGATATCTGATGCTGTGAGAGCTCAGGGAAATCTTCCCTGGGGAAATAAATATCAACATGAAGTATAAATCGTGCATAAAAGTTAACTAGGTGAATGAGAAGTTGAGAGTGGAGAATTTCAGCAGACGGAATAGCACGTGCCGAGATGCCATGACAAGAAGGAATATGATACATTTGAGAAATGAAAAGAAGATCTGGGTGGCTATAGTGCAAAGAGCAAGAAGGAATATGGTATGAGGTGAGGCTGAGTATGTGGGGTGGAGCCAAATCATTCATAGTCTGTAAGACTGTGTTAAACATTCTTGTTTTTATCCTAAAAGTAATGGAAAATCATGGTGGTAGTTTAAACTGGAGAAGAATTTGGTGTGTTAAAAAAACAAAATTCAACTAAGTAAATTTTAAAGATCGTATTGGCTTTATTCAATGATTCATGAATCTTATAGCATCCAACTAGCACATAGAAAAATGAAAGACTTTTATAGGCAGAAGGAAGCGGGATAACAAGGAAGTTATACTATGCAAAAAAGCAAGTTGACTATTGAAAGATTACTTTAAGGGATGGCAGGGGTTTATCAGATTACCAGCTAGTAATTGGTTGGTAATTAGATTACCAACTAGTGCTGATCAGGCGATTCCTGGTTGACTGGTTTAAGATTCCATTTCTAGGAGAGCTGAAACTGTAATTAAGTCAAGTCTCCGTTTGGTGACATGGGTCTTAGCATGAGTGATTCCATTTTGGGCCTGTTGTCTTGTTTTTAACAGGTGCATAGCATGATTAGATTGTGTTTTGAAAAGATCTTTCAGGGTGGAGGTAGATTGGAGAGGACCATGAGTGAGCGTGAGCAGATCAGAGAGGAGACTCTTGTCCAGGCTTCAACATCTTCTAATGATGGTGGTAATGGTGATGATGGAATAATGAGTACTGAAGATTTCTGGTTGGCTTAACTGGATGGATGGCAGTAGGGAACTTTGAAGGGAAAAATTAAAACTTCAATTTTGGACATGATTTATTTAAGATGCCTTAGATATGTAAAAGAGGAGATATAAAAGAGGCAGTTTGATCTGGCTCTTGATTATTCATTTCAGTTCATTGAAAAACAATGTACCACATAATCAGTTGTTTGACTAACAATCTGTTTGAAACTGTCAAACAAATGCGTTAAGTTAGGTTAGAAAAATTGTAGCTATTTTTCTTCAGAGACAGGGATATGGCAAAACCAAACCTTAAAGTAAATCTTCAAGATCTAATGTGTAGCATAGTGAATGTAGTTGATAATACTGTATTGTATAATTGAAATTTGCTAATAGAGTAGATCTGAAGCATTCTCAACAGCAATAAAAAAAGGTAACTATGTGAGGTGAAAAAAAATTTGTATAAGTTCAAAAAAATGAAATCCTAAATAATTTGGCTACTTTGCAAATTAGCTTTTAATGAATTAATTTTTGATGCTTTGGATGATTTCCGTTGGAGATCAGAGGAGAGGGCTGGATAGAGGTATATATTTAGGATTCATCTGTACATTATTGGTAATTAATGCAGTGTACATGGATGAGATTGTCTAGGAAGGCAGTATAGTATGAGAATATAGATGGCCAAGAACTAATCCTTGAGGAACTCCTGCACTTTAAGGGATAAAAGTACAAGGACTTTAAAGGATGAGCCTCAAAAGGAGACATAGGAGTGTCCAGACACATAGGAAGAAAATCAGAAGAATATGGAGTCATAGAAGCCAAGGAAAATGACCAGAATGGCCAATTGAATGGAATGCCACTGAGAAGTCGAGTTAGATGAGGACAGAAAAATGACCACTAGATTTAGTAGTATGAAGGTTATTGATGATTTTTAAAAATGATGTTTCAGTGTAGTGATTAGAGCAAACACCAGATTGCAAGAGTAGAAGATGAAGAAATGAAGGCAGTGGGTATAAAGGACTCTTTTGAGATGTTTGGCTGTGAAAGAGAAAGGAAATGAAAGACAGTAGTTGAAGTAGAGACTTCATCATGCAAGATTTTGACAGGGGACTGTGAGGATAACGTCTAACGGAGAGGGAGCTACATGAGCAAAGACATGGGATCAAGAGTGTAAATGGTGCATTCATAGTAGTCCACTTTGGGAGTATGTAAGGCGGTGGTGATACAAAAGGCTGTAAATTAAGTAGGGCTCTTTTTTTGAGGAATTTGAAGGTTCTGGTAAGGATTACATCGCTCTGTGCTCCTTTAATCCTCCTTTCTGCCCTCCCTCCCTTCAAGAAATATTTATTGAGTACTTACCCTGTACAAGATAACCATATTATGCCTTGGAATTAGTTGTTTCTATATTTTTTGTCCTCCTATAATATTTTAAGTTTCCTGAGTGTAGGGACTTTGTACAAAGACAAGACCCTTAAATGTAAGTAGATATATATGTGTTCCATACATTTTTGTTTAATTGATTTTGTACACTGTGGATTCTTTATATTTATTATGAAGTTAGTATAGATTTGATAAAACTATTAATACATTTCTTAGAATATCACATGGTATTTTTGCATCAAATTCTGTAATTTTTGTCAAACTTACATTTGGGAAGTTATTCTTTAGGTGATGCTTAATGATTTAAACTTTATAGTTTGAAATTATTTAAATCATTATTTTCTTGAATTTTTTCTTCAGAGTATACTCACTGGAAGCCTGCTGTTGGATTTTTGCTTTTTGGAAATAATTTTTGTGATGATTCTTTTGATAGGTATTCCAAAAACATCACTTGCAGGAAAAAAACTGGTTTCCGTTATAAAAAATTTGTACAGGATATTGGACAATCACAAATTAACATCAGTTAATTTCTAACTGACACTTATAAGACATAATTAAGAACCATGACTGAAGATCAAGATATTTTGAAAACTTTTTTGAAAATGCAGGGTTATAAAAAGAAATGTTTGCCTCAGAAGATAAAATATGCTTCGTGGACTGAATATTAAATCATATACATATCAAAATAGCATATTGAAATTAGATAGACTTGTGTTTAAACCTTGACATTCATTTACTATCTTTGAGAACTTGGTCATTAATCCTTTGTATCCTCCTTTATAAAAATAAAAATAATAACAGCCTCATGAAGTTTTTTGAGGATTGAATGACATCAGGTGTGTTTAGTATAGTACCTGTCACACAATAAGCGCTTAATTAATGTTGGTAGCTGTCGTCATCATCATCATCGATATCATCATTATCACTTGAATTCATAACCATGATTTTTAAAAAATCTTTGATATAATTTTGTGTTGACATCAACAGGAAAAAATGATATGCTATATAAACATTTGCTTAATAATTATAGTTCTAATAAATATTAATCGAGATATGCATCTGATTGTTGACTGTAACTTGTTTGAAATCTAGAAAATTTATTTTACCTACTTAAATAGAACCTAAAAGGTGAATTGCCCTTCTACAATGAAAATAAGTAATTGATTATTTTCATGTAGCTTCAAGTATTATTTTAATTTTAGTTTTAAAAACATATTGCTAAAAATTTTCAGACATACATAAAAGTATTAAAAATATAGTAAACATCAACCTATAGCTTAAGAAATAAAATATATCCAATGGAATTGAAGTCCCTCTTCACCCAAGTTATATTTATATATGCAGTAACTTCATATGAAATAAGGAATTTAGAAAATCAGAAAATCCTTTGAAGAATGGTCTTAATGGCTCTTTAGTCTTCAGAAAAAAAAGCTAATAATATTGAACATGGTGACATATCCGGCAGAATGAATATGTCTTTTGTGAATAATTTACCCTGGAAATCTCATAAACCCTACAAAACTCAAGAGTGTGTCTAACTTCCTCTTTTGATAAATAGTTTCTGAACATTGGATAAGAGCACGTGCATGTACTTTTGTACCATTAATTTTTCTTCTTTTCTTACTGCTATATTTCAAAAGCAGCAGAATAATAAATATTATTTATATTGTTCTGTTCATTATGAAAAGGAGGGTATCTTTATGAAATAAATGTATACAGTATCATATTAAGGTTAAATGCTGATTCAGCTTTTATTTTTAGACCTGTGATTTTAATCACTTGATTACACATTTGTATAAACTATCTTGGGTAAAGAAAGGATATTGTTGCGACATAGAGAAGAAATCTATCTCCATAAAAATCAGTTTGTTAAATTTTAGAACATATTTCTTCCCTTTTCATCTTAAAATGACTTATTATATTGCTTAAAAAACAGAAAGTTATATAGCAAAAAATGCCTATCTTATAATCTTGAATTTGATATATTGTTTACATTAAGTATTAATTATACAGAAATAGCCACATTGCCATGTAGAAAAATTATTGATTGTCATTATTGTAATGTAGCTGAAATAATTAATATTTACCAGTTGCTAATGTGGCTGTATTATAGAACTTAATCACATATAAATCTGGAGATAATTCTTGGGCAGGCATTAGATATTCACAGTGTTCAAATCTGAGCAAAGGAAATAGCAATATTGACTGCACATTTATTCCAATATTATAAGATTTATAGTGTGAGATCTTCCGGTGTGTGAGGAGGAGTCTGGAAAAGAAAGTGATCCTGGGTATTTTACTCAACTATTAAACTCTTGTTCCAGAAATGATTCTTAAATAGTTGTAAGGGAAAAGAATGGAAAACAGAGTGAGAGTCTCCCTCTCTCATTACCTGCTCTCCCCTTCATCTTCTTGTCTCATTACCCCCATCCTTCCGCTTCACCCTAGAGAGACCTGACCTTTGAATTATAATCAGACACTAATACAGCAGAGATTATGGTTAACACCTTAAAATTATAATTTCTTTATGTTAATATTTTGTATTCTAGTATGAATATTTAATAAATGTTATTCATGGTTTTAAGCTCATAGGATGTTTAACGTGGAGTAAGTTAACTTACTTTATAAATCCAGAAATCCTCAAAGTGAGATAATGATTATGGAAAATGTGTTTCCTATTCCACTGATATTATTTGTTATAAGTAGTTTATAGTACATGAAACAAATACATAACATAAATAAAATCATATCTTAGATCCAAATCTTGAGGTTAAAAAATCTTTGTCTCTTAGATATAAAAGCTTGGTGTTATGAGTTACGGTTGTAGCAGTTATTGAATTTGTAATAATGCTACATTACATGAGGTATTTATTATCTAATATTTTGTTTGTTTATTATAGTTGCTAAAACATGGAAGTCACTTTCCAAACAGGTAAGTTAAAGCTCTTGGTGTACACATGCATGCACACTACGTATATGCATATATATATATGTATAATGTGATATATACATATATAATTTTTTTCTGCAAATTAAGTCATATCAGAGTGCCATTTTTTTACCCTCCAGATTGTCTGAAAGTAAAAAGGTGAACAAATTCTAAGAGTTGGTGAAGATGTGGGTCAGTGGTAACTCTCATGTGGGAATGTAAATTGGTATACCTACTTTGGAAAACAGTTTGGCATTATCTACTAAAATTAAAGATACGTATACCCTATACCTAGCAGTTCTGCTTCTGGGTTTAAATTCTGCAACAGTGCATGTGCGTGTTCCTAGTAAAGCTAAACTTGAATATGCCCTATGATCTAGTAATTTCACACCAGTGTATGTACCTAGAGAAACTCCTTCATCTATGCAGGCGAGGTCACAGGAATGTCTGTAGATTATTCATGATGGCCAAAAAGACTGTAATACAATATCAGTAGTAGAATTGATAAATAAATTTTGATCTATTCATACAGTGAGTATTATACCACGTGAAAACAAATGAATTATATCAATGCTTTACCTAGATGAATCTCAGAAACATAATGACAAAGTAAGCAATTCACAAAAATATAATAAAGTATAATTCCATTTATGTAAAGTCCAAAACTGAGGAAATGAAACCATGCTGTTTAAGGATTCATTCATAGGTAGGAAAACTAAGGAATGATAAATATAAAATTCAAGACAATATTTACCTCTGGGGGAGATAGATGGCAGAGAATATCATCAGTGAGGGGTCCAAAGAGGCTTCTAAAGTACCAGTAATTTTCTATTTCTTAACAATTTCTAACTTTAAATTTTACTTGTATTCCTTCTGCACTTTTATATGTATGATAAACTTCAATGTGAAAAAATAAAACAGTATTAACATAACAATCTAGGAAACTTCCTTAACCGGTTAAAGAGAATCTTCCAAAGCCTATAGCAAACATCATGTTTACTTATGAAACTTTAGAGACATTTTCTTTAAAATTAGATATAATGCAAATATGTCTGCTGTCACAACTACTACTCACTATGTTACTACAGGTCTAAGCTAATGTAGTGCATTAATTTGCTATGGCTGCCATAACCAGTACTACAGTCTGATGGCTTAAACAACAGAAATTTATTTTCTCATAGTTCTGGAGGCTGGAATTCTGAGATAAAGGTGTTGGCGGGTTGGTTTCTCCTGAGGCCTCTCTCCTTGGCTTGTAGATGGCCATCTTCACATGTCTTTCCTCTGAGGGTGTCAGTGTCCTAATCTCTTCTTATAAGGACATCAGTCATAGTGGATTAGGGCCCACCATAATGACCTCATTTAATAATCTTAATTACCTCTTAAGGCCCTATCTCCAAATACAGTCACATTCTGAGGTACTGAGAGTTATGACTTCAAATGTAAATTTGAGGCAGATACAATTCAGCCTATATGACAAGAAAAAAAAAGAGGTTCTAAGGATTGGAATAGTAGCAAACAATAAGATTGAGAGAAAAATGTAAAAATACATATATTCCAAATTTATTCAAATTTTGTAAAAGTTTAGCAAGGTTGCTGTGGGATGTAAGATCAATGAACCAAAGTTAAAATGTTTCTTCACTAGCAATAGCAATTATCAAATAAGATACTTTTTACAATAGTAAAAGTTATCAAATAAGATACTTTCAGAATAGTAACAAAAACTATTAGATACTTAATGTACCTAAGGTAAGATGTGCAAGATATTATATTTTAAAAAAGACATGAGTAAACAGAAATATATTGTGTTCGTAGATGATTCATTTGGAAGAGTAAGGGCCCCAAATATTCGGAACAGTTCTGAAAAGGAAAGGGTGGGGATGAGGGGGAAACATTGGGATGAGAACAGTTGGACCTGTCCCATATTAAGATTAATAATAGAGCTATAATAATTAAAATAGTATTATATCATTGCAAGAATTTTTTTAGACGCTAGATCGAAGTAATAGAATACAGAGTCCAGAAACAGATGCAGACATATGGAAAGATCTATAAATCATTAGAGAAAGGATTGACCTTTAAGTATTGGAACAACAATCTTTCCAAAATTGGGGCAAATAAAATTAGATCTCAAACTGACCACTGTATGTAAAAGCAAATTTCAGATGGATTAAGTTCTTATTTTTGGCAAACAAAAATTCTGAAAATGGGAGATATGAAAAGTTTTTTGTAGCCAAGACACAAAGCAAAACTCAAAGGAAACTATTGGCAAATTTTACTAAATTAAATATCAAAAACTTTTGGACACCAAAAAGTCAACAATGTTAAACTATGTATGAGAGATGGGAGAATATGCTTACAGTATATTAACAGGAAAGGTTAAGTGTCTTGTGCTCATATAGCACTGCCATAAATCAATATAAAAAGGATAATCAGCTCAATAAGAGAAATATGGGCAAACATAGTTAGAATGGCCAATAAATATATGTAAAGGAGCTCAGCCTCACTAATGATCAGGGACATGCAAATTAAACCAATGGTATGATACTATTTCACACCCATCAGATTGTCAGCTTCCAAAAATCTAACAATACTAATAATTAGCAAGGACAAGAAGAAGGAACCAGGTAAGAATGTAAATTGGTATATTCACGTTTGAGAGGAATTTGGCAATATGTAATAAAGTTGAAAATGCATATCAAAAATTCTACTTCTAGATATGTATACTAGAGAAACATTTGCATGTGTACACCAAGAGTCCAGTACATGTTTCCTGCAGCATTGATTGTAATAGCAAAAAAAATTTAGAAACAATATAAACGTCGGTCAGTTGAGAAATGAACAAAAGAATGTGAAATAGGTGTATCAAGGGCAAATACAGTAATAGAGAGCTAAAATGAATAAATACATTAGAGCTGTGTGTATCAAAATAGACCTAGAAAACAAGGTTGAGTAAAACAGCAAGTTGCAGAATAATATAGACTGGCACTTCTTAAAGTGCAAAGACCTTTTCGGGGGTCCATGAAGTCAAAACTATTTTAATAATAATACTGAGAGGATATTTGTTTTATTACTCTCATTCTCTCGTGAGTGTACAGTGGAGTTTTCAAGAGGCCGCATGATGAATGGTGACGCCATCACTCTGACAGCTAACACAATATGTGCTTCTATATTTCTGTGTTTTAAAAATTTATCATTTCTGGGGCCAGCCCGGTGGCCTAGTGGTTGGGTTTGCGCACCCCACTTCGGTGGTCCGGGGTTCACAGTTTCAGATCCCGGGCAAGGACCTACGCACCGCTTATCAAGCTGTGCTGTGGCAGGTGTTCCACACATAAAGTAGAGGAAGATGGGCACGGATGTTAGCCCAGGGCCAATCTTCCTCAGCAAAAAGAGGAGGATTGGCAACAGATGTTAGCTCAGGGCTGATCTTCCTCATCAAAAAAAAAAAAAAAATCATCATTGTTATTTCCACATGCATTAAATATTGATAAATATAACCCACATAAACAATACCTCTTTGGGGTCCATAATAATTTTTAAGAGTATGAAAAGTTACATTACAGAATTGCTGATATAGACAACTGCTGTGTAGCCATTAAAATGAAAATGAATATTTGGCAGGAAAATATGCCTATGATATATTAAGTGCAAAGAGTAAGTTACAAAGCAATATGTATAAAATGCTTTAATATTTGCAACAACAATAAAAATACGATGTACCTAGACAGAGAATTAACCCAGATAGAGAATTAACCTAAAAGGGTGTTAAATAAAACTTTTAATTGTGATTCATCCCTGGATTATAATTAGTGTAATGTATATATATTAACTATATAATAAGACAAAATTGTATTCATTTAAGAAAATTGTGTAAATCCTCTTAAAGGAGGATTCCAACTATAATTCTAGAAAAATGAGTTGAATCCAGCAAATATTTATTTAGTACCTACTTGCAATACTGCAATATAATTCTGGCACTGACCACCCAGAGTTAGCGTCAGACTCCACAGGTTTAAGGGCACGGTCCCCAACAAGACTGCCCTCATTTTGGATGCCAACTGCAAGTTCGAGGGTCCCCAGGCCGCCCACACTTCTGACCAACTGACTACAAATCCAGGAGGTTCCCACAACTCCCCTCAAGTTTGATAATTTGCTAGACTGACTCATAGAACTCAGGAACGTTCTATACCTACAATTACAGTTTATAATTATTATAAGGGACACGAATCAGGAACCAGCCAAATGAAGAGACACAAAGAGCAAGGCCTAGGAGGGGCCCAAACACAGAGCTTCTGTGCCCTCTCCCCGTGGAATCCGTGTGTCACCCTCCTGGCACATCAGTGTGTTCACCTACCTGAAAGCTCCACTGGGCTTGGTGTCCAGAGTTTTCGTTGAGGGTTTCATTACACAGGTATGATTGATGGAATTATTGGCCACGTGGTTGAACTCAATCTCCAGACCCTCTCATCTCCCCTCCCAGAGGTCAGGATAGCTCAAAGCCCCAGCCCTCTAATCACGTGGTGGTTCTTCCTGGCAATCAGCCCCCCTCCTGGGTCATCTCCTAACTTAGGTTGATCCAAGGATGTCGAGTCTCCCTCCCAGGAACCAGGGACCAAGGCCGATCAAATTCTTTATTATACAACACTGCTACATATAAGAGACCAAGATAGGCACTGGGAATGGGAGAGAGATTTCCAGTCTGAGTGGAATTATAGATTTTAATAAAATTTAAAAGTTCATAAAGTTAACAGAAGACAAAGAAGATCAGTGTGTCAGTTGATGATCTAGACCAGAAGAAACTAAATTATTTCTAAAATAAACTGCTTAGACTCAGTAAGGATCTAGCCAGTTATTTACTAGTTGTGTGACCTTGGGTGACTTACTTATCCTTAAGTCTCAGTAAAATTTGCATAATGAGGATTGTTTTTTAGGATTAAATGAGATATTGTATTAGCCCATTGCCAAGCACATATAGGGCACTCAATAAAAGATAGCTATGATTTTTTGGTCTTAAACTCTAGCTGAGTTTAAGCTAAAAGAAATGGAGTTGAATACATGGAAACAGTTAAAATGGAGAAAGAGAAGTTAATATTTATAAAATAGCGATGATATAAAGTATATAAAATGTATGCAGAATGTTTTTTTTTTAGTCTGCTCTAACAGAAATACTTATCAGTTTACTGTTGTTTAAACAGTAAAAATCCCAGCTTCACATCATTATTCACTCCTGAATTCTTACCTCTGTGCCATTGCTACCCTAATCAGACACTACTGATTGCCTGGTGGCGTCTGTTACCTGCAGTGCGGAGATAGCGCTATGAAGGAAATGAAAGCAGTGTCCACAGATGGGCTTCAGGGAGTCCGTAAATCCCCTGAAAACACCTCTCCTGCCTTTTGGCATCCCAGGGATTCCTTATTTGCCTGCTAACGCAGCTTTGTAATGAAAAAGATGGTTTATAATGTCACAGAGCCTTTTTAGGTACAGTTGCATCAGGATTAAAATCACCTGGAGATCTTGTTAAACATACAAATTCTGGTCCGGAGTTCTGGGATGGGGACTGAGATTCTGCATTTCTAGCGAGCTCCCAGGTTGTGCCTGGGCTACTGGGGAGCCACACTTTGAGTAGCAAGAATCAGATCTGGAAATAGACGTGGTTTCTAGGGTTTTTCAGTGTGTTAACTTAGCAGACTAATTTCTTTATTTCAAATTATTTCAAGTTATCTTGCCAAATCCTTTAATAATTTTTCTTCACAATTAACCAAATTATAATTTTCACTTAGTTATTTTTAACACAGTATGCAGAATATATTCAAAATTGTTTCAGTATCTGAGCAATGATTCAAAAGTTTAAATTTTCCGAAATAGTGTCCCCCCTAAGTCTGATAGTTTGATTTAAAAAAAAAAAAAAAAGCTGACTAATAAGCAGTTGAAGTTTCTGTTCTTTACTGAATATTTAAGTTAAAATTAGAAAAAAAAATTGAAGCAGTTGCCACAATAACTCAATACCCTGTCCTCCCACTTCGTCTGATGTTATCCTTCTTTGAGTCACTATTTAAAATACTCTTCATTCTTTCCCAATATAATCCTTTGTCCATTTACTTCCTCTACCACAAAGCCCCTTAAATCCAGGAGGGCTACAGAGGAGAGACAGTGTGTGAAGCCACGTTATCCTCTCTGACCCCAATAAGGAAATCCACCTTTTCCTATGGCTTTCATGAAACTGTCCTTTTGTCGCTGGCTCCAGAACTTAAACTCACTGTTTTATCTTAATTTGATTACCTTATATGTGTTCCTTCAGTTATTAAATTTATCTGAAATTTTTGGTAGCTCTAATTGAATTTAATATAGCATGTTTATCATTTATTTTATATTTAGATTGTGGGCAAATATTATTTTTTGTGGTTGAATGAACCACAGGTATAGAATAGGATAAATACAGCCATGTCTCAGGTCTTGTAAGTGAAGAATTTTTTGTCATAGGCATTTAAATATTTTTGATCTATTCTATAAGTGGTTTACCTATTAATCAGTATTATGATACCTTATGTCATAGGAATTAAATCAGATGCTCTCAGAAACACCACCAGTTTGGAAAGGATCATCAAAGCTATTTCGCAGTCTTAAAGAAAGAGGTAAGTTAACTTTAGTACTTACGTGTTTTGACAGTATATTATTTGTAGTATTTATATATACATATTTTCCTCATACTTAAAATAACTTTACAATTACATGTGTGTGTGCATGGAGAAAAAACTGAAAAGAAAAACACCAAAATATTAATAATGGTTGTTTCTGAGTAGTGGATTAAGGGTGGTTTTTATTTTACTTTTTATATATATTAATCATGTCTTCCAAATTTTTTACAACAAAGTGAACTTTTATAGTTAAAAAAAAAATCAGTTTTTTAGCCATATTGAGAACTATAGGTTATATTTACCACAAACAACGTGTTTCAAAACTACTGATCTCCAAATGTCTATTTTTCTTCCTTCCATTTTACTTCCAGGAAATTATAGATTTTCTTAAATGTAATCAATATGAAAAACTTATTGGATATGTCTTTTGGCTGCCCAATTTGAACATGTTTCTTTTAAAAACAACACTCACTGCAAAAACCATCTGTTTCAACTTACTCTATTATCCATATCTATGTATCTAAGTTAACTCATTAATTTATACATTTCCTTGCAATCAAATTATATAGCTCTTATTGCAACTTTCTTTTACAGTGTACTTTTTGTACATATTTATAGCAAAAATTAATTGATAAAATCTCTTTAATCTTAAAAAGGAATTTTTCTTAGAAATATCCTTTTTTATATTCTCAAGTATGAGTATACAAAATAAAAATATTTTATATATTAGATAAACAGTTACTTTTTTCATTTTCATCAATTTTAACCAATATTGGTTTGAAAATATATTTACTCTAGCATGAAGACAAACACCTTGAAGGATTAGTTATGATCCATATATTTTATTAAGTAGAATTAGAAATTCAAATTGCTTCCACCTGGTTCTCATGGAATCTGAAAGGAAGAGACACCTTATCTTTTATCATACGTTTTTCATGACTAGGGTTTTAAAATCTTTGCGAAATCTGGTCCAAGGTATCTTTAAAGCTCTTAGAAGTTTTTTTCCTAGAAATTGTCTCCAAGATTGCCATTCAAATCTTAGGGTGGGATGATAGGATCAGGAAAATTCAGAGCTCAGAAGGATCAGGTAAGTTGGTGAATTTAAAAAATACTTCCTTAACACCTCTCATGGGAAAATACAAATTGGGTCAAATGTAATCTGAGAAAAATAAATACATGGAAGAAGGAAATTGTTTTTAGTTAAGGGGAGAGTTAAATCTGGAAGGCCTGGGTTTAGGCACGTCCTAATCTTCCTTATGTCTATGTAGATTTATGTATTTTTTTTCGGGGGAGATGATCTGATCAATGCTAACCAATAGAACTATCTGCCGTGATGGAAATGTTCTACACTGTGTTGTCTCATATGGTAGCCACTAGCCAGACGTAGCTATTAAGCACCTGAAATTTGGCTGCTGTACCTGAGGAACTGAATTTTTAATTGTATTTAATTTGAATTACTTTAAATTTAAATAGTCACATGTGGCCAATGGCTACCCTGTGGGAGAGTGCAAATCTATGTCACAGAGATTGGATGATCAAGGTAATCCCTGTACCCAAAAAGTTTTAGAACCATTAGGTTAGGTGAGAGAGAAAGGTGCAGAGACCCTTGCTTTTTTGTAAAGAGATTAAGTGGCAGAGGAACTTTTAAATTAATCTTTAATAGCTCTAAAGATTTAGCTTTAAAGTGAATTTTATCTGCTTAAAATATTACCCAGCAGGAAAATGTTACGCAGTTTTACAAAAAATTAGTTGGTATTCAGCATTTATGAAAACATGTATTACATTAGCCAATTGTAATATATCATGATATAGGAACTAAACAGTGTAATGCTTTTAAGGAATTTCCCTTAGAATTTTTTTAAGTTGAATTTCTAAAAAAAGCCTAGTTGGCATCTTTCTTACCCTCTTTTTCTAAAGATCGCAACATTACTATATGCTCAGCATTTATTTTTATTTTATTTTTTGATCCTGAGTGGCCTTAAAATAAATTGAAAGGTCAGTTGAATAGTTTTCCGTTTTTGTAATGGGAAAGCTTTAAGAATCTGCAGTTCATGTTCAGTAGTGTTTCCTCTTTTCCTTGACCATTTTTACTAAGTTACATCACGAGTGTCACTTTGTTCTTCCCTGTGGATTACACGACCTCAAAAACCATTTAGTTCTGGGGCCGACCCCGTGGCGTAGCGGTTAAGTGCGTGCACTCCGCTGCTGGTGGCCCAGGTTCGAATCCCGAGCGCGCACTGACGCACCACTTGTCAGGCCACGCTGTGGTGGTGTCCCATATAAAGTGGAGGAAGATGGGCACAGATGTTAGCTCAAGGCCAATCTTCAGCAAAAAGAGGAGGATTGGCTTAGGGTGTTAGCTCAGGGCTGATCTTCCTCACACACACACAAAAAAAGCCATTTAGTTCTACAGACAAGTGACCACCATAGTAATCATGATCAGTATGTGCTCACTGTTAAGTAATCCTTCATTGAGCGAAATCTTGAGTTAATTATCATATAAAAGATATATAGCAGTTATTAAACTTCTTTGTACCAACCAGCATCTCTCGTGTATTCTACCAAGTCAATTAGATCAACAGTCACTGAGATGGGATTGTGGAGACAGGATGGCCCATTTCCCCACACCATTTCCCTTCTTTCCTCCTGCATGTATGCTTGCTTTTTTTTATTGTTTTTTTTTCTTGTTTTGTTTTTGAGGGATCCCTATGGAATCTAGGTATTGTATCTTTATATACATTGACCATTCCAGAATCTTTCTCCCATAACATTCATGGCAATCAACCAGAACTATGTCTATAGGTCACAATATTCTAGTATAAACAAAAGAAGGGAATGCTTTCAGGGCCTCCTAGCTCCTTCTCTTCATGTCTTCTGACAAACTGCCTGACAAGTGACTCGTCTTCTCTTTGTTCTGTGACAAAGAGGGTAGCCTCAAAGAACATCAGGTAAATTGGAGTTTGAAAGTTCATGATCTGGTTATTTAAGGATTTTTTTATACCATTTTACCAAGCATTAGGACACTCGGATATCTGGATAAGTGTTACTGGCTTATTCCTGATTTTAATTTTCTCAAGATCCGCTTGGAAGGTCAATTAAGCCCTTAATTCTAATTTTGGGTGTTATAGTCCAAAAGCAAGAACTTGAATAACAGAATATATATTTTTATTTACACCAAGCAAACTCATTTTACTGTTTGTAATTATGGGATTACAGGGAATTCAGGATGCAATATACAGAAAGTGTGAGCCATTTAATTAAAAGAAAAACTTGTTAGAGTACATTTAATAGAAGCACTGTTTGTCAAGTATAATAAATAACTTGAAAGCAGAAAAGTGATAACTATAAAGTTTTATTTTGAATGCAATACAGAAATCAGATTTCTAAGCAAGAATGTCTAAATGTTTTGAGTTACTAAGAAGTAATTAAGCACTTCACAGTGTTAAGTTTCCAACCTTTTTATTTTATGTTAGATTCATACATTGAAAACTAGTGACAGGTTTAAAATTTACAGCTATAAGTAAGCATTATAATTTTGCGCTTTTTTTGCCAATATATTTGGGAGCATTCATGGGAACTTTGTATGGGTTTCTACAGAGGCATGTGAAACAAAGTAAAATTAATTTTGTTGCTTTGCTACAATTTTATAATAGTAATTTAGTCTCATTTAAAACAATACTTAGTATCTTTAGAACTGTAAGTTCTTTATTAATGTTACTTATTGCTATTATGAGAATAATGTTTTACTTGATAAATATGAAGAAAAAGTAATATTTTATATATAGCATAACTAATACTATTTTTCTTCTAGGTGTGATTTCTTATACAGAATATCTTTTTCTTTTATGTATTTTAACAAGTAAGTATACTCATTAAATCTGTATCTGGATCCAGTTTTCTTTTTTAATCAGAATCTTGGGAAACAAATCTTTCTTAAATTCTCTTGCTACTGAAAATCACTTTAGGTCTATCTATGCTGTTTTGCAAAATTCATGTCTAAATGCCGGGGGAAAATGCTAAGCATAGCACTATCAGGAGTCAAAAACATAAATATTTTTATAGCTTATGGTATAGTAATAAAATGCTCATAAATTGCAAATTTAGTATCATATACCAGTCCTTGTGATTTAATCTACATGAGAGCCTAACGGTTAGGGCATGTAGTGATTTTAAATTTCCTGCTATATTCCTTCAAAGCACATTATCTGCAAGACTATTGTGAAAGGAGTCTTTTAACTAGTGAATCTATTAGAATACCTATCATACATCTTAAAACAGCTTTGTTATACTCTTCCTCTCAAAGGCAGCCGTTCTTATGAAATATATAAAGGGTTTACTAAGGTTTTCAGTTAAATTTCATTGCATTTAATGGAGGAACTTATATGCTATAGTTTACTGTGCTCCAGCCACCTGATCTTTCTGTTCCTGGCAAATAAATGAAGAAAGGAGTGAATGAAAGAATATCGCTGGTGGAATTTCCAATTAGAATTTGTAGAGATGTATGGAAAAAGGAACATCAATAAAACTGTCATTAGAAACAAGTCTTAAAATTCCTTATACTTCTATGATTAGAAAATTCACAGGCACTGTGTTATTCTGAATTTAATAATGAATGATGTTATGTTGGAGTTCTGTTGCAGGAAGTTTGGGGGATGTGCATGCTTGCGTGTTTCAAAAAATTATCATCTTTTATTTTTTTCTTGCTTTTTTTCTCCTGGACTCAAAATGAAATTAAAATGTTGGTGCTGAGGAACAAGTATTTTTATTGTGCAGTTAGTAATAGGACTACCTAAGGTTGTTACAGACTGGAAAGCCATTATGATAATTTGAGTCCAGGAGTGGGTGCCAAGGAGTGTCTCAGAGACTTGTTGAAAGTTATCTTGTTAGCTAGAACAACTCTGGATGCTAAATTAGAAGTTATAAGTACCTATACCAGCAGAGTGATAGGCAAGAATAAGACAGAACTGGTTAGGAAAGCCACTTGTTGAGATGAGACAGGGTTTGGTGTAAGGGTATAGGAAAAAACACATAGAGTGGTTTTTACTTACTATGGAAAGGTTAGGATCTTTGGATGCTGTGAATCTTCCTTTGGAGTTCAGGACCCATTTTAGAAACTTCCAGAAATTTGAATTGAAAAATTATGGATGTTGTTTAGATTAGAACCAAGAAAAATGTGAGGGGAGGGCTGGGAGGAAGTGGGCTAGATAATGTACGTTACCTGGGTGTAGTTTTCTCCTCTTTACTTTTTTTTTTAATTGACGTAACATTGGTTTATAACATTGTATAAGTTTCAGGTGTACATCATTATACTTCTATTTCTGCATAGATTACCTCATGTTCACCACCCAAATATTAATTACAATCCATCACCACACACATGTGCCTAATCATCCCTTTCGCCCTCCTCCCTCCCCCCTACCCCTCTGGTTCCTCTTTACTTCTTATTAACTTTATTTTCCCTTCCAAACAGTGCTTGTAAGGACTTCCTTTCTATGTGTATTTTCAAGATATTTTTTAAAATATCAGAAATGGTGTAACTTTTTATTTCTTTCTCCAGTGAATGATAATGAAAGTAAGTTTAGATTCCTAAAATACATGCAAGAAATGAGCCTGCATAACAGACTGGCTTCCGTTTCCATTATTTCCAGAGACAGCTATTACCAGTTAAGAAATGAGGGCTGTGTGCTTCTCTTTTGCCTGGTTCAGGATTTCACAACAGGTAGTGGCAAGTGTAGATGTGGGAGGTCCTTTTTCAACTTTCTGCCAGTCATCTCAAAAGAAAAGGTCAAATGTTTTAAAAAAAGCGTGTACACCGAGCTCCTCTTTGAAGGACATATTCAAATTTTTTTCTAAGTTTTCTCCTTTATGCTTTAGAAGAGAAAAGAGATTGAACCTCATTATAAGGTTCATAAAATTAAAGCAATTCATGGTGTGTGAAAGTCTTTCTTTCTCAGAAAAGCAACTGTTTCTTGTATTTTGGGGGAATTGGGAATTAATTATTCAAGCCTCTTTTATTTTATGTTTCTGTTTTTGAAGCCTCTAGAAGTTTAAACGCAAATATGTAATCTCTTGTGCTTGCCATTCATTTTCATAGGTCATTACTGTTATTATTTTCCCCAGAATTTGGACTGGTCTGTTGTGTCATATTTTTTTTCTTCTGATCTAAGTAGTTGAACATATTGAAAATTTTTCAAATGTGATGCGCTGATATTTTCCTTTTAAACAAACTGACAGAATTTGGATAAGAAAGAGAAATATTTATTTTTGGAGGGAAAGTAGTCAAATTTTATTGTCAATGCTATGCAACAAGTATCACACAAGTACTTTTAAAGTATATTATCAGTTCTTTTATTGTGTGTTAATATATGAAGCAGAAATGGGTATACTTATTATATAGCTTTCATTATATTTAGCTAATAGTAACAGGTTACTTTTAATTTCATGGTTAAAGTATTTCTGTACAGAATATTAATAACTGTTTACAACTAATATGGATTTCATACTTTACAAACATTTTTCCATTTCACAAATCCTTTTCTATTTTTCTGGCAGAGCCACATGCAGGTTTTAGAATAGCTTTCAACATGTTTGACACTGATGGCAATGAGATGGTGGATAAAAAAGAGTTTTTGGTGGTATGTATGTTATATGCTGCATTTTATCAATAATTAAATATTACTTATATTTTTATAAGTAAGCATTATTTGGAATACTGCTGTAGAAGAAAGAGTGAAAATTTTATGCTTTCACCTTAATTTAATAAAGAAGTATATTCTTTAGGGGCAGGCCCGGTGGTATAGTGGTTAAGTTGGCGCATTCCACTTCGGTGGCCCGGGGTTCGCCCGTTCGGATCCTGGGCACAGACCTACTCACCGCACATCAAGCCATGCTGAGGCGGCATCCCATGTAGAAGAGCTACAACTCTACAACTATGATACACAACTATGTACTGGGGTTTTGGGTAGAAAAAGAAAAAAAAAAAAAAAAAGGAAGATTGGCAACAGGTGTTAGCACAGGGCCAATCTTCCACAAAAAAAAAAAAGTATATTCTCATGTACTTTGAATAATTTTTACATTATAAAAATGTAAATTGTATTCAATGTATAAAGATGATTATCGTTTTTTATACATTTTCTGGAAGTTTGAAATGTGTTAAATGTTTCCCATTGAGTGGATAATAGGTAATCCTGAGGTGTTATATATGCCTGGTTAATACTCAGTCCCCATAATATCAGCCAACCAATCACAACTTTTTGCCACAGGAACTTCCCTTCCTTCTCATTATTGGATTTATGATTTTTCTTTTTCCTCGTCTCTTCCACTCATTACTGCCTTGTATTCCTGTCTTGTCCCCATTTTCCAATTCTCTTCTCCTGTCTTTGACCGAGGGCTGATCGAAAGTGGGAGGAGTAAGATTGTTTTTAGGTATTTGTCCTTCAGTCTCTCTCACCTGATTGGTCCAGTGTTGGTGCTGGTCTGGCAACATCATCAGCTGCTCACTCGTCTTACCACTCGCCCCCTTCCAGAATTTTTCCATTTCTTTTTACCCATGTATCTTGCTTCTACTTCTGTGGCAAAATGCCTATTCTGTTTTTTCTCCAACATACAGATTAACATTAATTTATTCCCTACAGAAACAAAGTCTACCCTTAGCATTTATGTTCAATTCCATATTTACTTATACTCTCCTAGTAAAAAGAAAAGGGAAAGATGGCATATAAATAGCCATTTTATCTTCTATTTTTCTTTTGTAAGAAGCCATTAAAAATCCCTCAGATGAGCAGCATAGGGAATATAGTCAGTAATATTGTAATAACTTTGTATGGTGAGAGATGGTTACTAGACTTGTCATGGTGATCACTCGTAATGTATATAAATACTAAATCACTAAGTTGTACATCTGAAACTAATATAATATTGTATATCAACTATACTTCAATTAAAAACAAAATCCCTCGGAAAACCTGTTAAACAGCTTAGTATTTTCTTCAGAGGTTGAAATACGGAAGAGAAACTATGAAATCATTCTTTTCCATGGTAGAAAAGAGAAGCTAATTAGTAGCTATTCAAAAGGAAGCAAGCAACCTAATTACTGGGATCTATCGAAAGGCTTAATCTAATACCCGTGTAGCCCTTGCCTGTGCTTCCTTGAGCCAAGCCATTGGAGCTGGGACCCTGAAGGATCCCTCATTTTAGTGCTTTTCGGGATAGTGGGGGGGTGAGAGTTTTCAGATTCATTGCAATAGATAGAGATATGTTCCTAACATCCTAAATTGGACATATTTAGTTTAATATAGTTTTATTATGATAGTGTACAACTGTATTTTAGGACTTTTCAGAATGGGCCTAGTAATCTAAATAATTTTCAATAAACTTTCTATGAGAACACTGCCAGGTTCCACCCCACTGACTTAAAGATTAACTTTTGGAACTCTGTTGGTAGTTGCCTGTGTATAGATATCTTTTGGAATATTGTCTGTGGAGGTGGGAGGTAAAAATGTTCATGTAGAACTTCTATTTGTTTCCACTCTGTACTCTTATTAAAGCTGCCCTTTCTTGGGCGGGCCCCGGGGCTTAGTGGTTAAGTGCACGCACGCTCCACTCCTGGCGGCCCGGGGTTCGGACCCCGGGCACGCACCGACGCACCGCTTCTCCGGCCATGCTGAGGCTGCATCCCACATAACAGCAACTAGAAGGATGTGCAACTATGACATACAACTATCTACTGGGGCTTTGGGGAGAAGAAAAAAAAGGGAGGAAGATTGGCAATAGATGTTAGCTGAGAGCCCGTCTTCCTCAGCAAAAAGAGGAGGATTAGCATGGATGTTAGCTCAGGGCTGATCTTCCTCACAAAAAAAAAAAAAAAAGCTACCCTTTCTTTAAAGCTGTGGTTTACTCTTTAAAGATTTTATTTATTTATTTATTTTTCCCCCCAAAGCCCCAGTAGATAGTTGTATGTCATAGCTGCACATCCTTCTAGTTGCTGTATGTGGGACACGGCCTCAGCATGGCCAGAGAAGTGGTGCGTGGGTGAGCGCCCCGGATCCGAACCCGGGCCGCCAGCATCAGAGCGCGCGCACTTAACCGCTAAGCCACGGGGCCGGCCCATAAAGCTGTGGTTTACTCTTAACAGTGGCTGTACTGCTGCCTCATATGTGATGTTTTTTGTTTGTAAACAGAAAGAGTTCCTGAAAGCAGGAGGTGGAGTTGGGCTAAGTTGTTTGTAGACGTCTAAAATCTGTGATTCTCCTGCCTGTTTATAAAATGATTATTAATAACATTTGCTTTTTAAAAAACTCATTTCAGTGAGAAAAAGCGTGGAAGTAAATTTGTGTTAATAAAATCATTTATGTTTTGTACTGTATTTTTAATTATTATATCTTAGGAGGTAATACATTTTATTTGACTTTCAACTATTGCCATCCAAAATGAAATGAAGAGTTGAGATTGCTATTCAAATTACATAGACAAGAACAATGACCTCCCCAGGTAACAGAGATAGAGGTAGGATTAGGCTTCCATTTGTAAAGTAGGATGTTAAAGAGGAAAAATACCATTTATAATAATGGCTAACATATATTAAGTCACTATGTGACAGGCAATGTGCTAAGTAATTACTTGTAATATTTACTCTGCACAACATTCTTATAAGACCTATCAATTATACTTCAATAAAACTGGAGGAAAAAATATCCCTATAAGGTAAGGAATTATGTCTTTCTTCCTGATACAGAAAAGAAGCCCTAAATAATTAGAGTAACTTGTTCCAGGGGTTATATGTGCAGAGCCCATGCTCCCACCACAATGCTGAGTTACCTTGAAAGAGACCTGAGAGGTCATCTAGTCCATTGTCATTTTATGTATGAGCAAATTGGAGGCCAGCGAGAATTGAGTGACCTGTCTAACATCATAAAATTAGTGTGTTCAGAAGATGGGCTCAAACCCAGAGTCTCTGAGTTCTATTCCAATGTCCTTTATACGCTAGAAGGCTTCATCTCTTGTTATGTGTGTGCCGCAGACTCCATGGCTTTGAACCTTAGAGATAAAGTAAAACTGTAATTTTGTACATTTAACTTCACTATGGGTTGCCAATACCAAAGGATGTATTTTCTTTTTCTCAGGAGAAAAACAAATTAGTATCAGAAAATATATCTGTAGTAGTCTTAATGTTCTTGATGGATGAAGCTGACTGTTTTCTTGTTGGATATGTGATTCTTGGTTGGTTTCCTTTTCAGCTTCAAGAGATATTCAGGAAAAAAAATGAAAAGAGAGAAACTAAAGGAGATGAAGAAAAGCGTGCAATGCTGGTAAGAATAATTGCTGGTACTTTCAGTTGGGTTTTGTAACCCACCTGAAAGGTAAGAATTCTTTTATTCACATTGAGAAACAATAAAGTCTGTAACTTTGGAGCTGTCCCTTTCTTGAAAACTTTCTAAAGTTCTTATGTAGAAAAATTGCTTCAGTATTTTTATGCATTGATATCAATATTTATATCAAATATTGATATTAAACACCTGTATCCATAATCATATTCATTAAATCATTCTCATCCATACTGTCGTTATCTGTGAGATTTGAAGGGTATATTATATAATAGATTAATACAGATCATTATGCATGTAAAAATTTAAAGGTGAATTGCAAAGATTTAACTATATACGTGAATGAATTTAGTGGTACTATAACAAAATGAATATTGAAGCAAAAACAAGGAATTATGGTTTTTTGCCTTCTTGGAAATATATACTATAGATTCTTCCTCTGGGATGAGTAAGTTTTCATCTAATTCTGAAGGTAGAGTTAAGCAACATTTCCTTCCATTTTCTTACCAGTTTTCTTTATGCTTGTCCCAAGTATTTCAGCCTGACCACATCCCAGGTTCACATAATAAAAATAACAAACATGGCGCCAGCCCTGTGGCATAGTGGTTAGGTTTGTGTGCTCCGCTTCGACGGCCTGGGGTTCGCAGGTTTGGATCCTGGGTGCAGACTTACACCCTGCTTGTCAAGCCATGCTGTGGCAGCATCCCATATAAAGTAGAGGAAGACGGGCACCGATGTTAGCCCGGGGCCAATCTTCCTCAGCAAAAAAGAGGAGGACTGGCAACAGATGTTAGCTCAGGACTGATCTTCCTCACAAAAAAAAATAACAAACAGGTACTGAGACCTTACCATCAGGCACTATACTAGGTGCCTTGCATGTGTTTTCTTATTTAATCTACCCAACAGTTCTTTTATTATCTGTAATTATAGATGAGGAAACTGAGAGTTGGAAAGGTTAGTTGGATAGGTGAAGTATCATGTCCAAAATTACATGGCTATTAAATGGCGAAGCCCAGCTTTGAAGCCCGGGCTGGCCAGCTCCAGATTCTGCACTTTCATCCACGGTAGCGTATTTCTTCATCTGGTGCTTAAACAGCAGAAACACGGTGAATTTTGTTGGCATGTAAATGATAATTGTTTCATTTGCAAATTAGTGGCCCTGTGCAGTAGTTGAATTGGTCTACCAGGAACTCATAAATAATGAACTTCAGAGAGTTGCACCAGTTTTTATTATTCTCATTGTTATAAGGATATGTATTTTTTAAAACCTGAATTATCTGTAGCAGATGGGTGCCATATTCAATCCCAATAGATTTGTGAAGTGTGTATTTATATTTATATTAATAAAAGCAGATTATCAAGATTATGAAATACATATGAAATACAAATAATATAATATCATAGGATATTTATGATATAATTGTCAGTATTTGTTGAACCACCCCCAATATACTAATTGACAAGGCTTATGGAAGACACTCGTAAAAAAAATCAGAGCTGATTATAATGTTAGCCAAGTATTAAAAGGGGCTTTAGGAGTTCTCTAATTCAGGTCTCATGGTTTTCAAATTGTAATCAATAAATCCGATATGAATTAGCCCCATAAATGCAATTTTTTAGAGCATTAGCAAATAACACTAGAGAATTAAATACCTTCATAAATTTTATTTTCTATAGATAATATATTGAAAGAGTAAATAATTATTTTACTTTTGATAGATTAACTATAATTGACTGGATAGGTGAGTCGTTAATAAAATATCTTTTAGGAGGTTGAATTATGGTCATGAATCTTTTCGTATATCTCAGTGATAAAGTAGATGGTATTTCAGTGGATAGAAATTTAACTTTTATTTATTTGTTTATTTATACTACTTCTAGAAAGAACTTATGGATCTTCCAGTAAAGATAGAATACTGTTCTAATCATTAACGTTTATTATCGTACAAAGTCAGATAAGAAAGGGAGAGAGGACAGGGAGAATTAAGAGCAGACAGCTCACACTGGGAAAGCTGCAGTGTCTGCACAAAACTTGGCTCTGAGCTTCACTGCAGCCCAGGCAACGTGATTTTCATGCAAATGAGTTCATAATAGTGACATGGTAAATCCTCATTAACTTGGATTAATTAGGGAGAGTCTATCTGAATTATGAAATCTAAATTATGTCAGCACACCCTCAATTATTTTATATGCGTATAGGTCAGTGAAGCATTCTCTAGCAAATATATGGGGAAGGAGGCTTGTTTTAAAGAACAGATAAAAATAACTTATAACAGATAAAAATAACTTATAACTAATGCATGACTTGCCTATATATAAAGGAATGCTTGCTTACTAAAGTCATTGATCTCCACTACCTCAGAGGTATTTATCTTACATAGTTTAATTAGTGCTCCTGAAATCTCATTTACGTAACTTAGCTATCAGAACTATTCCTTAAAACAATTCAGAAATAATCTTTAGAACAACCTCTGAACTAAACAACACTCTACAACAATATAGCCGTCTACAAATATTTGTTACTATGTTCAACGATAATGATAATTAGTGGTAACTTACCGTTAATAGTCATCACGTTTTAAATAATGCAAATCTGAATTGATGAGATTTTGGAGTTTTGAGGCAATTGAAATTTAGCTTATAGTGAAAATATATGGATTAGATTAGGAGCCAGATTTTCAGAGTTTGAATATTAGCTCTGACATTCATTACCTGGGTGACCTCGAACAAGGTCTTTAACCCCTCTGTGCCTCAGTTTCTTCATTTGTACAAGGGGGATAATAGGAGTAATGACCACATGTGATTGTTATGGGGGTTAATTGAGCTAAAACGTAGCCACTTCACAGTGTCTGAAATATAATAAACACTTACAAAGGTTAGCTGATTGTAAGACTTCAAGTTCTCTTTCAATTAGTAGAACCACACAGCTACTTTGACCTGAATATTTACATACCCAAATCAAAATTGAATCAAAACTAAATTTAAAAATATTTACACACCAAAATAAAACTAACTGTGCTTCAGAAGGAAAGAGGGAAATGAACACAACATTTCTTGGGACATTTATTATGTGCTAAATCCATTATAAATGTTGCTCTCAGTCCTCAGTACATTTCTCCCAGGTAAGTATCACACCTGTTTTGCAGATGGGAAAACCATCTGAGAGAGGTTCATTAACTTGCCTAAGATCATGGCACTAATAAGAGCAGAACAAGATTCCACGGTAGGTCTCTCATGCCATTTCCACCACCATGCTGCTACATCTAAATTTTTTCCCTTGTCCTATGTAGAATTGCTGAAGCATGTCTAAATAAAACCGCATACTTTGGAGGAACATGTTCTACTCAAAGCAATAGTTCTGTCAGAAAGTCGCAATGAAAATAGTTGAAATGAGCACAAATTCATTTAATGTTTAATTGTATGAGATTTTAAAAACTTTGCTACTCATCTTTAACATTTACCCCACTTGTATTGTGTGTGTGCTCTATATAGAATGTAGCATAATGATTTGCCCTTCCTAATTGATTATTTTGTCGTCTTTTTCTTTTTTTCTTTTGCTATACTTGGGTTCATTCTGAAATGTGACACTTCATTTGGCCCTTTGTGCTCTATGTCAGCGTGTTCAACTTTATGGATACCATTCTCCTACTAATAGTGTATGTACAATACTTTAAATGTTCTTTATGTAAATAGCCCTCACCTGTTATACTTGATAATGTTATTTATTATAACACTATATCTGCTATTGAGAATGTTTCGGAATTTATTGAATATAATAAGGTGCAACCAAGCCAAAATTTTTTATTTACTTCTTAGATTTATGAGAAGACTAAAATTTACAAAGCAATTGTATATCTTTAACTTTAGATTAAAATAAGGGAAAGGTGAGTGAACAATAAATAAAAACTCTGGTAGCATAATTGAAATTTTATACTTCTCAGTGGTATTTGAAGAGTTAAATACAAATTATGTAGCAGATTCTTAGGCTGTGCTTCTGAAGAACATAGGTATTTGAAGAATTAGATCTATCCATCTGATATACAGTCTTTTCTCAATGGATAGACCCTCAATGGATATATAGTCTTTTCTTTAATGAATAGACTTTCAGTATTTCTCCCAAATTTTTTCTAAAACCTTTGATGCCTACCTATTGCCTATGGTCAATACAATAAGTCTAGTATAAGATGACACTCGATATGTTTACTATATCAATGTATCATGTGATTTCTCAAAGAGGATTATGATTTTCAGACTCTTCTTTTCCTGAAAAAGTTGGGAGTTTCTGCAGATGATCTTCCAAATGTATGCTTTCTTCTCCTTTCTTTTCTCCTGGAAAGTCAGAGCTTGTTACAGCTTGGTTAGCCCAGCTACTAAACAACTGAGAACAGGCCATGGCCCCTTTTGAATGTAAACATGCACTGTTCATTTAATTTCCCCAAGGATCCTTAAGTCACTTAGAAGGATCCCTCAAATTATGCAGATTCCACCTCAGAGAAGCCCTTGAATTCAGGGTGACTGACTTAGTCTTATCCTGCTAAAAGTGTTCCCATTACAGTGTGCAACTCTAAAAGTAGGTGTGCTGCCTCCTGTATTGGATAGTTAATCAAAATTCCAAGCTATAAAAACTTTGTTCTAGATTTGAGCATACACTGGAGGTTGATTCAGCATAAAATAAACCTAAGATATCTTGCCTAAATCACAAGGAATGGACCTAGAAATGTATTGGAGAATAAGCCAAGTCCATAGGACTTTTATGACTGACTAATTGTTTTGATCACTTACAAGATACTTTAAATTTTTTCTACAAAATTCACTACTGTTTTCCATTAAATAAAGTCTACCATTTTTCTAAAATTTTTAAAAGATTCCTCTGTTAATCATTTCAAAAATTTGTAAGAATGTATATGATAAAAATCTCACAGATTATAGTGTCATATGCCCTGTGAAACTTAATAAATGTTAATAATACTTATGACTTTATTATGTATTTTTCTAATCTAATATGTCATTGCATGAGCCATTTGTCCAACCATGGCAATTTATATTTTTCCTTTAAACTCATAAATAATTTTCATATGATTATGTTTTTTAAAAAAATACATTTCAGGGTAATATTGTTAAAAAGAAATAGGTACTAATATAGCTCTAGTTTAAGCTACATATACAAATTACAGTCACTTGGATATTAAGAGAATAATACTGAGAAGCAGATTTAAATTGCATATTTCACTCATATTATGCTTGCTTATTTAATAGGAAAGAAAATTTATGACCTTACATTTTATTATAGTAATATATATTTTTAATTCTATTATTAATTTTACTGAAGACATCATTTTTCCATCTAAGAATATAAAATACATATTTTAAAGTGATGTAACTCAATGTCATTTTTATCCACAGTCTTAAATGGACTTCATGATTTTTCAATTCCCTTAGGAGTTTAGTTGGTTATATAAACTGACTTTTTCTTTCCTAGAAGAGAAAAATTTTTGCTCAGAAAGGAATGATTACTTTAAAAAAGTGCAAGCAAACAAGGAAAATTCATTTAAAATTAGAAAAAAATTCAGATAGCTTGAAAATTTATATGAAATATCACTGATGTATATTGCACAAATATATTAGTAAAATGTTATAAATTAACTTGCAATTATCTGTTAGGTTCCAGAATTGTAGATCACCTGGAGTGATAAAGTATCTAATTTGAGTACAGTTCATGTAGCTGAATATACCTGGGATTCTACCTTAAGGAAGAAATTCCTTCAGGAAAGGCAGCCCCTCTTGACTGTTGACTGTTACTGTAGCGACAGAGATTCTGTGGCCTCTGTAATAGCCTGTTCCAAATTTAATCATTCCTACAGTAGATTCTGCCTGTATTCTGACAAATTATTTCTTGCTACAGTATAAGATTGAGCATACTCCTTTGTATCCATGAAGATAGTTACCTTATAGCCTTTTCTGTTTGAAACTACCCTGATTCTTTCCATATTTCTCATACAGTCAACTCTTATGTTACTATAGTAATAGAAAAAAATATAAAAAAACTTAGAATAAATAATGCAGAAGTCAAGTATATTTGACTTTGACATGCGTTTTATGACTTTTTAAAAGTTTTTTAAAGATTATCTTAATTACTTTAATTCCATTGTAGCCAGAAAGTATACCAATTTTAATACAGTTTTTGATTTGTGTTGAGACTTGTTTTATGGACTAAAACAATGTCAATATTCATAAATGATCTGTGTTTGAAAAGAATGTATATTCTCCAATTTGGGGTACGGGGTTGAGATATATATGCATATATATATATATATATGACTAAACGTGCTAATTATGTGTTTTAAATCTGTGTCATTACTAATGTTTTTGTCTGCTTAATCTGTCAATTAGGATGTTAAATTACACATTACGATGATAGATTTAATTTCTACTTGTAGTTCTGTTATTTTTTATTTTATATATTTTGAAGCATTATTATTGCCTGTATAAGAATATAGATTACTTATGTCTTCTTAGTGAATTGAATCTTCTACTATATACTATCCCTAGATCTCTAAAAATGTTTTTTCCTTAAAATCTATTTCAGTTGTCAGAATAAATATACCACCTTTATTTTTATTAATATTTTGTATTTTTTTTTATTTCCTATTTTTTCCTCTAGTGATGATGAGGCTCTCCCTGATTTTTTACATATATTTTAGTTCAGAAATTTGCTACAAATATAATATATATATAAAATGGAATAAATAATAATAAAAGATTAACCACCATACAGATCAAGAAATAAAACGTTGCCATGCCCCAAGAAGCCCCTCCATATGTCTCTCCAATCATAATCCCTCCTTCTTCTCCAAAAGATAATCACAATCATGACTTTTATGTAAATCTCTTTTTTGCTTTGCTTTGTGGTTTTACCACCTACTTATGCATCCTAAACAATGTAGTTTAGTTTTACCCATTTTTGTACTTCATATAAATGGGATCATATTTATATGAGTTTTTCTGTATCTTGCTTCATTGACTTAACATCATGATTGTCAATTTCACCTGCATTGCTGTGTCTAGTCTTAGTTCATTCACTTTTATTGGTGGAAGCAACAGTTCTCAAAACATTTTGGTCTCAGGACCCCTTTACATCATTGAAAATTATTGAGGACCCCAAAGAGCTTTTGTTTATGTTGGTTATATCTGTTTATTTACCGTATTAGAAATTAAAACTGAGAAAATTAAAAATATTTATTAATCCATTTTAAAATAAAAAACTCACATGGTAACATAAACACTTTTTATGAAAAATAACTTCAAAAATGTAGTGAGGAGAGTGGCATTTTACATTCTTTGCAAACCTCTTTAATGTCTGGCTTAATGAAGACAGTGGGTTTCTCATAGGTGCTTCTGCATTCAGTCTGTTGCTACATGTTATTTTGGCAATAAATACTATCAGTTATTTCCCTTGAAATGAAAGGCTCACTTGGTTCGTTTTCAAAAAAATGTCTGCCAGATAGCAAAGTGTGAATAACCATAGTTTGTCTATCAATTGTTCTTTCAAGTAAAAATGATAGTTCATGAAAAAAGTGGCTAATTCCCTTGCAACAGAAACCATCGCACAAATGTTTGCTCTCAACACAACCATAGTACTTCAGTAGACAAGAGAAGTGCTGTATGCATGCTTCCCGTTTCATCACACGGGATATTAAAAGGATGTGAACTCAAAGGTCAATTTCACACACTTGTAAGTTTTATTCTTCAGCAAGTCCATTCTTAAGTGAATCGTTTCTTTTTAAGGTGACTGTATGAAACTGAAGAATGTAATGACTTTGGTCTTTGGTGTCACTGCTGTCCTGGCACTAAGGCGCCAGCAATTTTACCTGCCATTGCTTTTGCGTCAGTGCAAATATCAGCACAGTACCAAAGGCAAATAATATCTTTAAAATGCTTTGAAGAAGATATATCTATTTTATATTTTGTCCAGCTTTTTCACTTATTCTCAATGAGAAGATTGGTGCTATTTACTAGCCTATCATTAATAGAAGCCTGGTATATCTTGTTCAACCCCTCTCTTTCCTTATACTTTGTGTGTCTTTTTTTAAAAGCATATTTTGTATATTTTATTGGTTCCTTTTAATCTGGGTTGATAATCTGTGCTTTTTATTTGGAAAATTCAGTCAATTTACATTACCATGATTACTAATTTATTTGGATATATTTTAGCCATTCTATATACTGTTCTTTTCTCCTTTCTTACCTTCTTTTGCATTAACTGAAGTTTATTTTTCCTCTTTTTATTTTCCTCTATATTAGTTGAGAAGAATTCACTATATTCCTATTTTTTTGTAGTTATTCTTGAAATTTTAATAAGTACACTTAAAATAATAAAGTCTTAGATGGGGCCATATCTTTACTCTTCCTTAAAGTCTCAAAGTGTGTTAATATCTTTCATTCTTTGCCTGGCATGAGTACTTGAAACTGCACAATGTTTGCCTTTGTCTTTTTTTAATCTCACAAATTAGACTTCTTAAATATATACCATCAGTGTTTGTTTAGAATTACTTATATTTGCGATTCTTTACTCACTAATTCCTTCTTTAATCGCACTGCTTCCTAAATCTCATAATGTTATACTCACAAAGTATATCCTAAAGTGGGAGTCTGCTGG